TCCGCTGTTGAGCCACCCAGTCTAATTAGCATATCACACTGTTATTATTATAGATACTTTCACTGTGTACTCCCTTTGACTCTGTGTGATTGGTGGGCCTGGGATGGCTCCTCTGTTTATGGTGAGGGAGCGCACGCCCTCCAAGGTCTCCAGGCTGTGCTCCTGCTCGCAGACCTAGGAAGGACGCGGGAGCCACCGGCGGCAGAGGGCCTGGCACTGAGGCCTCGCCCTGGGCAGGGTGGCCCAGGTGGAGTGGGCGGAAGCAGCACTTTTCCATAAATGGAGGCTTGTGATCAGGCTGCAAAGTCCCCGTGCAGTTACTGCAGCATCATGTACAAAGCCCCCGCAGGAACTGCATCACAGCGCACTGGTCATAATCCATTTCGGCCCCAGGTTCAATTCCAGTCAGGGGCATGTACCTTGGTTGCAAGCACATACCCAGTAGGGGTGTGCAGGAGGCAGCAGATCGATATTTTGCTCTTCGATGTTTCTAACTCTTTATCCCTCTCCCTTCCTCTCTGTAATCAATAAAAAATATTTTTAAAACGAAGATGTTCATAACTGGTTATTTAAAAATGTATCTTAATTCCATTAAAAAATACTGAGTGTCCATAGTGTGCTCAAAACTGCTAGGTGCTGTGAACCTTTGTAGCTGATTCATTGAATCAATAAATATGAATTGAACACTTATGATGATCTTATTTCTGCTAGAAATTGGAAATACAAAGATGAATAAGACAGGATCCTTAGTACTGTTAATCAACTGAATGGTCAAGGAAAACAACCTGAAGACATAGGCAATGTATTACCCAATATTTTGTGGCATGATAATATTTGCTGGCATGAGATGGCAGCACAGATGAGTGGCATGGTAGGGGAAGAAGGGGAGATGACTTCCTGGAGGAAGTGGCACTAGGGTAGAGCTTCCGAGGATGTGTTTCAGCGTTCAGCGTGTGCCCAGCAAGCGCTTCCTCGGCTCGTCGGGGAGGAAGGCCCCCTGATGGAGGAAACCTAAGAAGAGCAGCCAGTGCTTCTCTAGAGTTTGCGCAAAGGCAATAGACATGAGTTGCTATGGTTCAAGGCAGATTGTGTTGTCATGTGGTGCTTAATGTAAAAACAATGCCGTGTTCTTAGAATGGGAGTGCGCGGTTATGATGGAAGGCACACCACACCACTCAGCAATTACCCACCCACCGCCTCTTGCTTTGCAGCAGTCATTCAGCATGGGCTGGTGGTGCCACCCTGGGAATGCTCGAAGATGGGCACCACACCATGCGCATGCTACTTTCTGCGAGCAGTATGTATGGTGCATGGCCTCTCACTACTTGCTGATGGGGAACATGGCACTGTCCTCTGGGATGGTCTCACTACTTCGTGTATAGACAAGGTCAAAGATCCCGCCAAGAGCAGTTGACATGTAAGTGCGGAGTTGTGTGCTTCCAATAATCACCGCTGTGGCAGTTGAGGGATGGAAGGACAGCGTAGGAGAAGGTTGGAGGCAAACTGAAGGGGTCAGTGGACTGGAGAGAGCCTTACAGTAGCAGTGGAGGGGACTGTGAAGCTAGAGGTTGGCTTTGTTAGCCGGGAGTTGGAGAACGGGGGTGACACATTCATGGATGCTGAGGGGACCAGCAAGACTGACGGCATCTAAAGGAAAGGTCTGGTTGTAGGCAGCCTTGGGGACCCAAGATCAGAACTTGAGGCTATAGCCAGGGTGGTTATGTGCAAGCCAGGGGCATGTAAGGCCGGGCGATTTCCCAGCTGTAAGTGTTGGGTGATGATGGGTGTCAGTTGAGTGTCTACAATGTTTACACCTAAGGAAACTCTGAGCCTCTTATGTTGGCCTGGTTACAGATTCAGGGTCCGATCGGAGGCACATAACCAGTCATGGTGTGAGGTGAGGCGGTTGAGCAGGTCACCAGGACTCAGGTCATGCCTCTGACTCCCCAGAAAATGACTTCATTTTGCCTTAATTCGTTTTTTCCTCCAACACTGAAGCCCTTGGTTATGGCTACTGTTGAGTAAGGAAAAAAAGTCTTGTTCAGGGTCACATCACGTAAAGGCCTCTGCACACTTACAAAGAAAGCAACAGCATAAGACCATAATGGGAAGGAAGGATTTGGTGCTTCAGGAGCAAGCCAAAAGCAGTCACGCTCAGGCGGAGAAGCAAAGAGTCTTCTTGCTGACAAATAACAAGCACATTTTGTAAAGAAAGGGAATCATTTGTGGTGACATGGGTCATAGTCAATATAGGGCCAAAATGTTGAACCCTCCACCTGGAATTTCCAGATTCCCCCCTTTGTCAAGTGCAGTACAGACAGACCTCGAGCTTTCCTGCGGGGCTGGGCCCTGGGGGCTGCCCCCCCCCCCGCCCCCCAGGACACCCCGCAGAGCACTGACTCCTGTACGATCACCTTAGCTTGCTTTCCATTGCGTTTGTCACTTTTCCCAGACAGACAAGCTGTGTGAGTGGCCATCCTCAGACAAGGTGCTGGTTAGAAAGAAACAGGTGACTGCAGGCTGCTAAGCACAGAGGACCTTACATGGAAATAGTCTCTATGAAGCCCCCAGAGGCAACACATGAATGGGTTACACCCTGTTGAGCCAGCAGAGTCCTTGAGTGGTGCAGATTCCTTTAAAAGCTGGACCAGTGCCCAGTCAGAGTGGCTCAGTTGGTTGAGCATCGCCCTGAACCCCGAAAGGTTTCCAGTTTGATTCCCAATCAGGGCACATACCTGGGATACGGGTTCAATCTCCGCTCAGGGCATGTATGGAAGGCAACCAACTGATGGATGTTTCTCTCACATCAATGTTTCTCTCTCTCTCTCTCTCTCTCTCTCTCTCTCTCTCTCTCTCTCTCTCTCTAAGGATTTAAAAAACAAACAAACACAACAACAACAAAAAAATGGGACCATTACTTAGTCTCTGGGACTGAGCCATGTTATAGGGTGGGAGTGGTACCCTGAGATTTCAGTGGTTTCCCCAGTCTCTTGCTCTCAGGTGTGGAGAATCAGAGTACATTGTAGTGACCTAGGATGGCTTATAACACAGTTCTTAACTGGGCTCCATGTTGAAAGTGTATATCCTCTCTCTCTCTCTCTCAATCTTTCTCTCTCTCTCCTTTATATACATATGCATATACACATATATCCTTAGTTAGGTTTCAATTTTATTAGCAATTTGCTCTTTTTAGAATTCTTAGTCCATCCCTGACCCTGACCTACTACTATATAAAGTATATTTTTTTTAAAAAAATCACACACGCTTTTCTTGACGTGTGTGGGTCCTCACTACCTCTCTGACTCTGATCTGGTGGGGAGTGGTACTCAGGTGCAGAAACATGTTTTTGTGTCTTGCTTTTTTGCCTGTGTGTGCTGTTCTCTGCTAGCAGAGGGCTTCTCACTTAGGCTGCACATTGGAGTCATGTGAGGAGCTTTATGAAATACGAGTTCGTGGGCCCTGTCCCTGGAGATCTGATTGGACAGGTCTGGGTGAGGCCTGGGTACGAGGCTTTTAAAAATCCCAGGTCATTCTAACGCATCGCCACGGTTGTACTTTGCCCATCTGCAATTTTCCACCAACATTTTCCACTGGCCTGAAGGGGAAGCCAGGTCAAGATCTGCCTTTGGATCTGGGCCATCATGATTCCTAATTTTAGCCCTAGGCTTTTGGATTTATAGATGTGGGGGGACGAAGCCCAAAGAGTGGGTTTCTTTCCAAGGGTAGCCTGTGCAGGTTGGCCAAAAGGAGAACGCTGACAGGTAGCCGCCACACGTATTGGAGCTGTAATTTTAGGCTCATCGTCATATACTCTCTTGTTCATACGTGGTTCATTTTCATTCTTAAGGTGAAAGTCACAAACAACATTATTTATTTTTAGCTTTATGGGATAAATATTCTATTTGTAACACTTGTTTTCCCTCCAGTCCAAACATGCCTGTGATTCATGTGAGCACACATACACGTATGTCATGAGGGAAGGAAACTCAGAAAGACGAGGGGTACGCTCCCATCTGTGGCCTCAGAATAATGTTCTTTACTACGAGCTTCGGCTCCGTGGGAAAGGGGTAGAGAGCAAACCTAGCACTACATTTCAAATTACTAGTCTGGAGTGACTGCTGAGAAACATTTTTCTGATGATAGAACTATCTTTTAGGCAAGGACTTTCATTTTTAAAAAATAGCAGGACGCTTTCCCCCAGAGAAAACGAAGTTCCTTTGCCAAAAAGAGCCATGAACTGGGCGTCCACACAAGGAAACCAGTGCCGGGAGAGGGGGGGGGGGGCCCTCCTGCTGCGTGTTCCCACGCCGTTGTCTGTGGGGTATCCGTGTCCTGGCAGAGGCATCTCGTGTCCAGTGTCTGTGGATTGAACCCAGTGTCACGTTTAATCAGAGCAGGAAGCACACCCCGCTTTGTGTGAGAAGCAGGTCGACTGGAGCAAAAGGCCAGTGCTTGGCAGAGGGCCAGAACCCACCGGCTGGTGCCCCGCTGCCATAGGGGGCTCCAGAAACAGGAGAGTAGGGCGAGTGCTGTGTCCTGGGCTGGGACGCACTCCTGCCAACACACGGCGAGAAGACCACCCCTCCCTCTCTGTCCTTTATATTCCCAGAGTCCGCAGCTCTCCCCACCCCAGAGCTCCTTTCCTGGCCTCTCCTTCGCCCGGCCCTGTCCCCTCCTTGCCTGTTCAGAGCTCAGTGACCTGTCCACGGTCTCAGGGGACTCGGATCCTGCCCGCAGTGCTGCCGTTGTGTGCAAGCGTCCGCGCCTCCGCTCGGCGGGTCTTGAAGATTGCTGTCTGGCTTTGTGGGTCATTTGGTGGGTGGCCGGGTGAGGAGTGATCATTCTGAATAGTCACTCTGGAATTTTATGAATCAAAAAGGCAGAGCTCCCACTGCACGCTGAGATGTGGGAGCGTGCCTCGCGGGCTCTGGTGAGTCACACGGGGGAGGGAGAGGAGGGCTTGGTGCTAACGGACGCTTGGCTTTTTTTCTCCCCCGCAGGCCCCCCTCCTGCGTGTTACAGTCCCAGTAGCCCCGCCCAGATTCTAGAAGACCCCAGCTACTTCTTCCCAGACTTCCCGCTCTACTCCGGGCGGCATGAAGCGCCTGCTCTGACGGTGGAGGCTGGCGGAACCATCCGGGAGAAAGTTGGTGAGTTCTTTGACTGGCACTTGTGGTGGAAACACAAAAAGATTGTAGGTGTCTTGTTTTTAGCGCTTTTGCATAATTCCCCCTGCCCCCTGTGCTCATTTAAAAAAAAAAAAAAATCAGCATGTGGTATTATTGGTTGTCTCTTTATTGGCAGGTGCCTTATTTTTAATGTTTGTGCTATGGGTGTTAATAGACTATCTTACTATCCTGTTTCCTTGAAAATAAGACAGTGTCTTATATTAATTTTTTCTCCCAAAGTTGCTCTAGGTCTTATTTTCAGGGGATGTCTTATCTTTTCATGCGCTAGGTCTTATTTTCGGAGGATGTCTTATTTTCAGGGAAACACGGTATAACTTGTGATTCACCAGAGAGAGAGTTCCTAGGTAGGTAGGAACTTAAGAATGATACCATTTATTCCCTAAATTTTCTCTAATTCCTAAATACATTTTTGGTACTCCTTCCTAGAATCTTTACTTCTTTATTTCTTTCTACTTCACTTTAATCTTTTTGCAAATAACTCAGAAGTTCAGAAGAAATTCAAAACTATAGTAGGGAAGGGACTGTCTCCTTTGTAAAAACTTCCTGCCTATTTTTGAGGACTTTTCAGGAAAAACGAAGAGGGAATTTTTATCTTTAAATATATATATTTTTTATTGATTTCAGAGAAGAAGGGAGAAGGAGAGATAGAAACATCAATGAGAATAAAAGAATCATTGATTGGCTGCCTTCTGCATGCCCCCCAACCCAGGCATGTGCCCTTGACCGGAATCCAACCAGGGACCCTTCAGTCTGCAGGCTGGCACTCTATCCACTGAGCCAAACCAGCTAGGGCAGTGGTCGGCAAATTCATTAGTCAACGGAGCCAAGTATCAACAGTACGATGATTGAAATTTCTTCTGAGAGCCAAATTTTTTAAACTCAAACTTCTTCTAACACCATTTCTTCAAAATAGACTCGCCCAAGGCCATGGTATTTTGTGAAAGAGCCACACTCAAGGGGCCAAAGAGCCGCATGTGCCTCGCTAGCCGCCGTTTGCCGGCCACTGAGCTAGAGCATATAAGGGAATTTTTCAGACCACTTTAGGGAAGCATCTCAGGGCCCAAATGTGCTTAGAAAAGAGAATGTAATAGTTTTCATGCCTGGTGAAACTCTATTCCTTTTATTATTCATCAAAAAAAAAATAATTCTCCTCTGGAAAATACTTTTTTAATTTTAATAGAATTTTTATTCATTTTATTAAAAAATGATTTTTATTTGATACTGCTTGTTCCAGTAAGCCTTTCAGATCAGTTATCCTGAGGGTAAGGGCATCCTTTTTACTCTCCTGCTCCTGCATCAGTCAGGAAGCCTGAATACAGCAGGTTTCAGCCAGTCTTTGCTTAGTGAGTGTGGCCCAGTTCAACCCACACTGATCACTCTTTCCGTGGGTCGTTCACCACTTACTACGACGATTATTTGGCCGTTCATCTTGCATGGAACTTTCATGATCTGTTTTTACTGTTTAACATGTTTGCTGTTGAACTTCAGGTTTCTATTTCAGTTGCAGTTACCTGAAGGGAAGGGCTAAGTTTGAATGTGCTCCACTGCAGTCCTCTGGGGCAGATAGGAAGTCTGCCCATTTTTACAGGGGAGAGAGGCTCAGAGAAGCCAAGTAATTTGCCTGAAGTCCCAGGGGAGGTTCTGGGGAGATGGTCAGTGTTGAGCTTCCTGAAGGCTTTCTATGGATCAGAGCAGTGTTCTGGGCGCTGGCGATGCAGTGTGTGAATTCAGCAAACAAACTCCCCACCCTCTGGTGCTTCGGTCTAGTAGAGGAAGACAGGTCATACCTACAGTGTGGATTGAAAGGAGAAGAGGCCAGAGGCTAGAGGTATTCGGAGGCTCCTCAGGACATCTAAGCCACTGGTCAGGAGAGCCAGACCTGAGGAGTGGCTGAGGGCATGGGAGCTAGGTTACACAGTCTTTGCTATTGCAGGTACACTAAAGATGTTATCTGCTGTCACCTTTTCTCATATTGTAATATCAAAGAGAATAAGTGGTATATAATCCTTGCCAATAGAAGACAGTAAACCCAATGGAAGGTGTCTATGTGCGTACTCATGTAAATGTGGGAGTATACGTATATTTACATATTTACTGGTAGCCCTGGGCACAAGTAGCTTGCTGCTGCTTGCCTCAGCTGGTCACCCGCCCACCACCCCTGCTTGTAGCTCGCTGCCACGCCTCCACCTGCTGCCACGCCCTCCTATAGCTCTCTACCACTTGTAGATTGGTTGTGATGTTATGGCATACGGATAATTAGCATATTCCTCTCTCATTATATAGATAAGCATATTACACCACTTTTTTTTTCTTCTTCTCTCATTTCACTGTGGACAAAGAAAACCTAGCTTGGCAGTTGATTAAATGGTGGGAGCAAAGGAGGCAGAAGGTCAGATGTAAATCTAAAATGTCTATCAGGATGACTCATACGAGGATGCCATTTATAGGTTAAAAAAGAAAAAGGCAACCTTGGGAAAGAAAGACGGTTTGGGGGAAATGATGTGGTCTATGTATATATAGAAACACAGAGCCATTATTGCATGGCATTGTAGAACTGAAGGTTGCTTAGCAATGAACTGCTTCATCTTCTTCAGTTTGCAGGTGAGGCTGTTGAGGTAGGAGAGAGGAAGTGATTTGCTCAGGGCCATGCCAGAAGTAAGTGGTACAAATGTTACTATCACAATGCTACATGATGTCTTCAATATACTACTTACTAGTACTGCTGTGAAATGGGTTAAATTATATAAGGTTTCCCACACTTTTAATAATTATAAAGGCAGTGTTTATTAAACTACATTTCATTTTTTAAATTGATCTATAAGCTGTTCAAGTGTGTATACATTTTTTTGACACCCTGTGTGTATATGTGTGTATCTAATCTTTACCCAAGGATATACTTTCATTGATTTGTAGAGAGAGAGGAATGGAGAGGGAGAGAGAAAGAGAGCGTGAAATATCAATCTGTTGCCTTTTGTACACACTGTGACCAGGGATTGAACCCATAGCCTACGTATGTGCCCTGATTAAGAATCAAGCCCACAACTTTTTGGAATGGGACAATGCTCCAATCAATTGAGCCACCCAGCCAGGGCTAAATTTTATATTTCATGGAGCTTGTGTAAGTATCTTTTTACTGGTTAAATGTTTGATCCCCCTCACTGGGTTGTGTGCTAGGGAGAACCAAACAAGAAGGCATGATCCTTACCTTTCGGGAGTTAGAGTCTGTGTAGGTAAATAATTGCCCTCTCCGGTGATCACTGATCTACTGAGATCTGTGCCAATGGAGTAGATATTGGAGGAGGGCTCGAGCCTGTGGGGCTGCAGCAGGAAAGGACTTCCTCAGAAAGTAGCTCGGAGCTATCCCATGCTACATAGCTAGGAATCCCCAGGAGGACATGGTGGCATGCATCTTTCTAGGCATAGGGACAAATGTGAGCAAAGGCTCTGAGGCCAGAGAGAGCCAGCATGTCTGGAGTCTCTATGTTCTTAGGTGCATTAGAGCTTAAACTCCAAGGAGTTGCCAGTGAGGGTGGGGTGGTGGTGGCCTGAAATGTTATTGGAAGGTAAGGCAGCCCCCCCTACACCAAGCATGTCAAACTCAAAGGCTAACGGGCCAAATAAACAAGGTTTAAGTTTATGTAGGCCATAAAAAACAAAAGCTTCAATTTTCATAGAAATGTAGGTTTATTTCGATAGAGACATGCTGAGTACAAAAGGCTAAATGAAATAAATGAGTCATCGTTAACATAAAATAAGAGAACATTTTAATAAAAATTAATATTTTTTTCTTGAACATGAACTCACCAGACACTGAATAACTGCACAAATTAATAAGCATAACACACACCTATTTTTCTTGTTCTTTGAAAGTGAAATATTTCCTGTTGCACACACCAAGCAAGTCAGTCCAAAAATAATGATGTGGCAATCAACTGCTAAAATATTTGCTGCTAGTATTAGTGGAGAGAAATGGGGTGCCTGCGTGTAAGGTGCGAAACAGAAATGAATGCAACACGATTATAGTAATCAGTCAATAGCAAACGTTGTGGTTTGTTATTAATAATCCTATATAATAAAAGCATAATATGCTAAATGTCCGACTGTTCCATTAGTTGTTATGATGCACACTAACCACCAGGCGGCAGACTGACCAGTAAGTTAGCTTGTTGCTGGGGTCTGGTGGATTGGGACTGGGCAAGATGGGCTGGACACGCCCCCTAACCCTTCCATGGTCCCTCCCCAGCCAGCCAACCTCCCGCAGTCCCTCCCCAGCTGGCTAGCCCCTATTGGCCCAATTGGAACCGGGAGAGAGAATCCCGATTAGCCCCGATTGCCAGCCAGGCCAAGGGACCTCACCGAACACTGGGCCTCTAGTTATAAATAACAGGATATTGTAAAAATTAAGTTATGAAATTTTTATTAAAATGTTTCTCATATTCCATTATATTGTCTGGGTCGCAAAAATATTCGTTGCGAACCTCGAATTTGATATGCTTGCACTACACCATGTTATAGAATTTCAGTTTTATCCTGTAAGTAGTTACTGAGGAATTTTGTGGGGAGCATTCATGTGATTCGGTTTTCCTAGTGGAACAATCTCCCAGGGTAGTGTGGGAGACAGGTTGCTGGCTGAGGGGCGGGTTTGGAAATGGGAATGAGTCCAGTGTCGGAGAAATAGATGAGCAGGCTGTTGGAATGAATTGGTCTGGGGATAAGACGCCAAGGGCTTATAAGTGTGGAGTGCACACAGATCTTGTGCAATAAATCACATCCTGGCTCAGTCTTTTCCTACCTCTGTGACCTCTGAGATTTACCTTTTCTAAACCTCTCTCCTTATCTGTAAGACTGTGGGAATTAATATCTGCCTCATATGGAACAAATGCGTATGTGGAGAGAATGTAGTGCAATGGCGTATCATATGCACTTAAAAATGATTCTTGTGGTTGCTATTGTGGTTATTATGAATCAACTTGGAGATTGGCATGGGAATAGAGAGTTGGGAGGGATATTTTGAGGGTAGAATTGACAAGCAGTCACTGACTAGGTGTTGGGGGTAAGGAAGAGGAAGGAATTTTGGAAAACTCTCAGGTTTCTAGTTTGGCAAAAATGAGACAAAGCAGGGATGCAGGGGGCTGGGTGGGTGGGTAGGCCTCTCGGGGTGAGGGGGACATATAGAGTTTGAAGGACTCATGGACCACCGGCTGGCGGTTGTAGGTATGTGGGTCACGAGTCAGTCATTGAAGATGACTGGTGGATGTGATGACCCCGAGATTCTGCTGAGTGAGGGTGGAAGAGCACCAGGGCAGAGCTGTGGGAAACACCGGAATAGAGGGGCAGGTGGGGGAAAGGCAGGCTGGGAAGGAGTGGGCAGAGAGGCCCGAGCCAGGACCTGGGTGCCGCGTTAGGCGAGCATTTCAGGAAGTGAGCGATCACCCAGCCAGATGCGTCAGGAGGGTTGGTTGTGTCGTGTGAGAGCTGGAAAATTCTCGCTGGGCTCTTGGTTAGTAGTCAGAGCAGGAGGGAGGGCAGAGCCTGGAGCATTTGGAAAGTGGAGACAGCAAGCATCCATTGCTTACTGAGGACAGCTAAGAGAACAGGGAGGAGAGAGGCAGGGTGTTAAAGGTACGTGCAGGGAAAACCATGGGAAGGACTCTTCTCTTTGTTTGGTTTTGGTTTCGGGTTTTTGCTTGTATTTTTAAAAAATATATTTTATTGATTTTTCACAGAGAGAAAGAGAGAGGGATAGAGAGTCAGAAACATCAATGAGAGAGAATCATCGATCAGCCGCCTCCTGCACACCTCCCACTGGGGATGTGCCCGCAACCAAGGCACGTGCCCTTGACAGGAATTGAACCCGGGACCCTTCAGTCCACAGGCCGATGCTCCATCCACCGAGCCAAACCAGCTAGGGCTGCTTGTATTTTTTTTTAAGATGGAAAAGACGTGGCACGTTTATATGAAGAGGAGAGGGGGCATGAGAAAGATTAAAGGAAAGGGCAGGGATGAAGGTCGGAGCAAGGCCTAGGAGGAAGCAGGGGGCCAGAGAAGGGAGAGTGTTAGAGACACTTAGAATTGGAGAAGCACTTCCATGAGCAAACTGCAGGGTACACGGAGGCGGTGGTGGACTTAAAACCTCGTCACATGCTTCTCCCGTTGGCATGTTATTTACCACACCCTAGCAGACCTACATTGCTGTGGAATAGCCTGAAAACCTTTTTCTCCTGTGCTTCCCTTACAGTCGAGGATCCTCTCTGTAACTTCCACGCCCCGAGCTTCCTGAGGATCTCAGAGGTGGAAATGAGAGGTTCCGAGGATGCGGCCGCTGGAACAGTATTGCAGCGGCTGATCCAGGAGCAGCTGCGCTATGGCACCCCGACCGAGAACATGAACCTGCTGGCCATCCAGCACCAGGCCACCGGGAGCGCAGGACCAGCCCACCCGACAACCGGCTTTTCTTCCTCGGAGAACCTCGCCCAAGAAGACCCACAAATGGTCTACCAGTCGGCGCGCCAGGAGCCGCAGGGTCAAGAGCACCAGGTGGACAATACGGTGATGGAGAAGCAGGTCCGGTCCATGCAGCCTCAGCAGAACAGCGAGGAGCTGCCCACCTACGAGGAGGCCAAGGCGCAGTCCCAGTTCTTCCGGGGGCAGCCGCCCCCGCAGCAGCCGCCGCCGCCACCGCAGGGGCCCGTGGGCCACGGCTACTACATGGCGGGGGGCGCCAGCCAGAAGGCCCGGACTGAGGGGAGGCCCACGGTGAGCCGGGCCAACAGCGGGCAGGCGCATAAGGACGAGGCGCTGAAGGAACTGAAGCAGGGCCACGTCCGCTCGCTCAGCGAGAGGATCATGCAGCTGTCGCTGGAGAAGAACGGCGTGAAGCAGCACCTCCCTGGCTCGGGGAGTGGCAAGGGGTTCAAGGCGGGCGGGGGGCCCTCCCCAGCCCAGCCCGCAGGTAAAGTGCTAGACCCCCGGGGCCCTCCCCCCGAGTACCCCTTCAAGCCCAAGCAGATGATGTCCCCGGTCAGCAAGACCCAGGAGCATGGGCTTTTCTACAGCGACCAGCACCCTGGCATGGTCCACGAGATGGTCAAGCCTTACCCCGCTCCGCAGCCCGCCAGAACGGAAGTGGCCGTCCTGAGGTACCAGCCGCCCCCGGAGTACGGGGTAACCAGGTGATTATCAAAGCCTAGCCCTTTCCCTCGGCTTCTCAAAGCCCAGCAATCATGTTTTTTTTAGCATTTGTCGTTTTCAAGGCATGTTAGGTTTTTGTCATCAGGGTTTGTTTGTTGTGTGTTTTTGTTTTTCTCTTATGCATATTATTATTACTTTTTAAAAATATGTATTTTATTGATTTTTTTTTTTTTACAGAGAGAAAGAGAGAGGGATAGAGAGTTAGAAACATCCATGAGAGAGAATCATCCATCAGCTGCCTCTTGCACACCCCCTACTGGGGATGTGCCCGCAACCAAGGTACATGCCCCCGACCGGAATCGAACCCGGGACCCTTCAGTCCATAGGCTGACACTCTACCACTGAGCCAAACGGGTTTCGGTCTCTTATGCATATTATTGAATAAGCCAATTTGGGGCCAAACTGTGTCGAGTGGAACAGACCCGAGGGCAGTTGGGGATTTACGAGGTTAGAGGAGGAGCCTGCGTTGCTGGCCGTCCTTGGGCGCTCTGCCTGGTGGCCAGGCAAAGCAGGAATTTTCCTGGCTGGCTCTGTGGAGAGCGGCCAAGCTCCTGGAACATATTATTACTATGGGTTTCATGGGGTGTTTCTTCACTGTAGGTTTTAAAGGAAAATGTAGTCTAAGTGCTTGGAACAGTGGAGTTAAAGGGACCATAGAAATCATATCGTCCCATCCCCATATTCAACAGATGACAAGCTAAAGCCTGGAAAGATTAATGAATTTCCACAGTGCACACTCCGAGGCAGCTGGAGCTCGGATCGAGTGTCCTGATCGCCCAAGTCCTTTCCCTCCATTGCCCTTAGTCGCTCTTCTGACTGGCTGGTGGAGTCAGCAACACTTACTGAGAGTGTGTCCTGTGCAGCCCTGGCTCGGAGATAAGGATATGGTCCTTCCTGGTGAGGACCTACAGCGCTGTCTCCAGGGAGACCAGCATCTGAGCACATCATTGCAGGGTGCTGTTTCAGGACAGGAGTGTGAGAGAGGGCTAGGATGACTCACAGCCGGAGGGAGTGAGGACAGTGCCACAGGGATGTGACATCTGAGTTGGGTCTTCAGGGATTAATCAGAGGTGAAGGTTAGAGGTGAAGGAGCAGGATGTACTATGCAGGGGGATTGTCGCTTCTTCAGCCAGTTTAGGAGGTTTTGTCTGAATTGAGCTGCCGTCCTGAAGAGCACTGGTGGGATAGGGTATGGTAAGAGATGGTAAGAGGCGGAAGAAGAGGTGTGTGGATGTGGAAGTTGAGGCCAATGGGTGAAGGTCTTTTAAGTGTCATACTCAGAAGTTTAGAATGTATCCATAAACAATTGTGGTTTTGGCCCTAGCCGGTTTGGCTCAGTGGATAGAGTGTTAGCCTGCGGACTAAAGGGTCCCAGGTTTGATTCCGGCCAAGACCACATGCCCCGGTTTCAGGCTTGATCCCCCTCCCCCCAGTAGGGTGCGTGAAGGAGGCAGCCAATCAATGATTCTCTCTCATTACTGATGTTTCTATCTCTCTATCTCTCTCCTTCCTTCTCTGAAATCAATGGGGGGAAAATATAACTAAAAAAATTGTGGTTTTGTTTGTTTGTGTTTTTTAAAATATATTTTTATTTATTTCAGAAATGAAGGGAGCGGGAGAGAGAAACATTAATGATGAGAGAGAATCATTGATCAGCTGCCTCCTACATGTCCCCTGCTGGGGATCAAGCCCACAACCCCCAGCATGTGTCCTGACTGGGAATCAAACTGTGACCTCTTAGTTCATAGGTTGATGCTCAACCATTGAGCCACATCAGCTAGGCCATAAACAATTATTCGTAAGTAGAGACTATGCTGGTGTTTAATAAAAAGGCTGACTTCAATGGCAGTAAGGGCAAATTGGAGGGAAGAGAGAATGGAGGCCATGAGGACCTCCGGGGACAGTTTCAATAGCCCAGATAAGAAATGGTGAGGGTGGCATAGGTTTGAAAACATGGTCTAGACTAGAGGGTGGTCGGCAAACTGCAGCTCGCAAGCCACATGTGGCTCTTTCACAAAATACCATGACCTGGGCCAGTCTGTTTTGAAGAAGTGGCGTTAGAAGAAGTTTAAGTTTAAAAAGTTTGGCTCTCAAAAGAAATTTCAATCGTTGTACTGTTGATATTTGGCTCTGTTGACTAATGAGTGTGCTGACCACTGGTCTAGGGGAGCATGACATGCTAAGGGAGGAGGGGAAATAGAATGGACAGGATTTAGTGATTGCCCAGATATGGACGTTGAGGAATAGGGCAGTTGAAAATAAGGTGATAGGCAGTCGCTCAGGAGGGAAATGGGGATTTGCCAGCATTTAGATGTTGCTGACTTTGCCAGCGGAGAGAGAGCATGGGGCATGAGGAGAGAAGACAAGCAGCCACGGCCTGTTTATTGGACAGTCTTCATTCTCACAAAGGACTTATTTATCTGTTTCTAAGTCGAATGGGCTGAGGCTTCTCCTTGCGACCGCAGTGGTGGTGTGCGGGCATACCTCGGACTACATCTTCTGAAAGGGAGTCACTGGCCTTGGCAGAGAGAGAGCTGGCCTGCCTTCCACTCACCGCCCAGCTGCTGACCCCTTCCCCCCGGAGGTCGGGAAAGCCAGCTGTGCAGCTGTGTGCCAGCACACAGACACAGACTCCTGACAGGCGCCGAACCCCTTCCTAGTGTGGGCACAGTCTGACCCCACTGGGGAATCCAGGATGGGGCTCCGGGCTCCTGTTCTTACCCTTTCTCAGTTCCTTTGCCAAAGGAGAAATTTAAACTCAAAAACGATCAGGTTTGAAGAGGAAAATAAAGCAGTCTTCACATCTCTGGTGTGTGTACCACATCGGTTTACCGTAGCTGCTTAAAATAACCCATGGTGTTTGAGCCCATTAGAACGGTATCGGAGTTTGGTTCGGGAAAGTTCACATTTTCCCCTGAATGCTTTAACTCAACCTTTAGAGCTCGACAGAAGGTGAAAATATCCCCAAGTGAAGTATCCTTCCTTCCCTTTGGAGTTACTGTTTGTTAATAATGCGGTTGGCAATGCATAAAGTGGACTGTTTTGCTTTTTCTTTACTTGGCAGTAGGTGTGATATAAGGTGGAGGCATAGTAAGAGGAGGAGGAAAGCACTTCTTGGAAATCTACCCCTTATTTGTGGAAAGTGTCATTTGCCTCAAGTTTGTGACGTCAGAAAGAAGAAGTGTAGGAGGGATCTGAGCCAATTGCCAGACTTGGCAACTGGATTGACATGACATCAAAATGTCCCGGGAGACGTAACAGACAGGCCATTGAGGCCGGGCCCCAGCACCACAAGGCCCCTTTGTGAGCCTGGCCACGGCCAGCCAGCCTGGCTCCGGCGGCCAGCCTTGGCTGAAGGGGTAAACAAAGCTGCCTCCACACCATTTCTGCTTCACTGGCCTTCGCTGTGGCCTGAGCTCCAGGGGCTGGATCTGACACTCTGCACTGAGTGATGTACAAGTCATCTTTGACCTAAAAGACGAGCATGACGCTTCCGTGTCACGGACACGTACCCTGCTGCTTACAGGGTTTTCTGTTTGTCATTAATGGTGATAGTTTAGAAAGCTGCAGGCTATTGGATCCATGCACCATCGATGCCTGGCAGAGGAGAGACCTCGGAGTGAGATCACTGGGCCCATTTCCTTGCCTGGAGCTGCAGAAATGGGCCCCGTAGGTTGCGCATACTTATTCTCTCACCTGCTCTGAGCTGCTGAAGATGGAGATGTGTGGTGGATTGTTGTAAAGCGCGTTAGGCTCCCGTGGTGGGAAGCACCATGGAGGGACCACTAGTGCAGGCCTCGTGCACACCTCAGCTGTTGCTGTGGGTGAGCTCGTGGGGCTGGTGACGGGGAGACTAAGGTGAGCTCACCTTGCTGAGGTCGCTGGTGGGGCCCTGGGACCATGAGCTGACATGGATAGGGCTCCGATTTGTTCCTGTACCCTCTTCCTTTTCCTGCATCCTGAAAACGGAAATGGTTAGGACTGAAGACAGGCTGTTAATGGGACAGGTTGTGTTTGGAGATTTGTGTCTTTAAAAAAAAAAAAAAAAAAAAAAAAAAAAAGGCAAGCATTTGCATATTGATTCTGACCCGCTTTGTGAAAATAGAGCACTTTCAAGGTGATGAGTTGGCTCAGTCATGCCCGCTGTGCCGCTAACAAAAGTGAATGCATGAATGAACATTGGTGGATGGTCTGATTTTTATCTGAGCAGTTTGGAGTAGTTAGTCAAATGCGTGTTTATTTCCCCAAAAAAACCTATTCATATTTCCAAAGTGGAAACTAAAGATACTAAAAAAAAATCACTTAAAATATCCTATTTTTATAATATGCCCACTGTTAACCTTTTTCTTATACAAATTAATTTTTTCATATGTTATAATCATAGACTATACCGAGTTTAGTATCTTAGCTTTTGGTTGGATAGTATCTTATCATGTTTTTCCACAATGTTTGTTTCCATAACCATCCTCTTATGACTGCATTTCATAAAGCATATAATTTACATCACTTTATGAATAACGAAAGCATCGTCGTGCATATCAAATTTTCCATATTTTGGTTTCAGTCCTTAGGAATCCTTATTTAGAAATGAAATTATTGGGTAAATTGTAATGAATATTTAATAAAAGCCTTCTGATACTGGATAACTGTGCAAAAATATTACAGTGCCTGATCACTGTACTCTAACCAACATGAGGTTAGTACAATCAGAAAAGCTTTGCTAATTAATATTAACTCCTTATTTTAACTTGCAGTTACCAGCGAGGTTAAATTTGGGGAGGGTCTGTTGCAGTAGTTAGATTGTTCTGATCTGGAGTGTTGGTCCTCTGACACTGGCTCTGATTCCCAGTTTCCAGAACTCCCTTGCTGCCCTCAGCAGGTGACAGTGGAGCACAGGTGGTGCTGGCCGGAGGCTGCAGTGTGCCTGGCGCCTGGTGTGGGTTATCCTTAACCTTCCCAACTCCTAAGGGGTGCATGCTGT